CTGCGATTGAATGGAGCCGCTTCTGCCGCTGGGGGATGGAGGCGGGGAGGCGGCCGCGAGAGGGTAGCGCTTGCTGGGTTATTCGCGTGTGCGGGTGGCGGTGGAGGAAGGCGAGGAGCGTGATAGTGAAGCGAGGCCGGTGTGGGTGTGGAAGGGCTTCCCCAGCCCAGGGGGCTGGGGAGAAGTTGGGGTGATTTGAGGAACATCTCTGTAAATTATTAGGAGTGGAAGTTTCCAGAAATATTTAGTGCAGCAGCATTGAAACGTCCGCCTGCATCACGTGGCCCCTCGGTGGAGAGCTTGGGATCGGGGGAGGGAGGGGCTGCTGAGTCCCTCCTCCTCCTGCAAGGAAACTCGAAATCTTTCTGGTTTTTTGCAGAGTAGGATTAGAAGTAGGAAGGGTTAGTTGATTGTTCAGGGTTCTGTAAATGGGATTCCGTTCTGTAGTTTGTTGGGGGGAAGGGGTTGAGTGTGTTAAGTGACCGAATCGTTTACTGCTGGCATTGTACAGTGGATGATGCCCTGATTCTCCTTCATTCCGATGTCTCCGAGTTTGGGATGGGTGGGAAGTGGTGTAGTAGAGGAAGCTTTAGAGATTTGCCCAGCCCGGACCTCCTCTGATCACGCAGAGGCCATGCTGCATTGAGAATGGGGCGGTGAACTTCAGGCGCCTGGTCTAAATGCCTCCTCCGAGTATGGGCGGGGTGAGTGCGTGCTCCGGTATGCTATAGTTAGAACTGCTGCAAATCGGTTCGGGTGGGAAGCGAGGGGAGGGCGGTCCTTAGTGAGGTGTGTTTCTACTGAATGAAGCAGGCAATTGCCCACACATCTAAGTAGCAGTCTCTCCTTGTAGCGACTTGTTTTTTGACCTACTACTTAGTAATCATAAAGCAACGGTTATGGCTTGGATGGGAGCTGGCGGTGTGCAGCTGCCTGCTTATTCAGTTAGAAGTGGCAGTGAAGGTATTTTGGTAGTCACTTGTAGAGTCACATTGCTGGATAATCCCTTGTATATGCTATCCAGTGAGTGGATTTTAGGATTGAGTGTCCCAAGGAGAAAAGAAAGCGATTGTGGTTTCACGCTCTCCCGCGATGGCTGTTTGCTATCTGCCTGATTGTGTATCTTAAGCGTGTGGGACACTGCTGTTAGTGGAAAGAATGTTTTGGAAGCTGTTTGATTTGGGGGACTAAATGTGCTTGGCTTTGACCAGAAAGCCGCCATTTCTGTACAGTTCAAGAATAGGTAGGTCATTTCGAAGATAGCCGCTAGTTCTAAGGATGGCAAACTATTGTATTTAACACGAGCTTTTATTCTAAACCTGATTTTTCACAAGAGTTTAGCTCGAAGAACTCTGTAAGGACAATGTACTTGAAAATGAAACTTTTTATAGTCAAATTGTTCTTTTTGTTTGGGTTATTAAATTATGATAGGACTACATAGGAGAAAAGTTCGTTCAATTTTTAACCAAAAATTGAAAACCTTTGATATGTACATCTTGGTGCTTTGTGGCATTGTTTTTCAATCTCAATTTTTAAGACTGTTCTGATCTTTAAAATTTTATGGTATTTGATGCGAGGAAATTTACACATTTGGTGGAATATATATATGTATTTCCATTTTTATATTCATATGTAGATTAGAGATTTTTGTTAATGTCAGATATTCTTTTGGTATTAAAAAACATTAATAACTGCTATGAATTTTTGAGATCTCATCAGTTTTTGCTGTCAGTAATGGGCTGAACGATTTCAGAGGAATAAAAATCCTTGAACTCTTAATTTCTCAATTTTTACATTATCTCTAACTTATTGACTCATCATTTACACTTAACATTTTTTGTAATTGGCATTATCATTAAATAAAGCATTTGTGTTAAAATTGAAATTGCTGCCATTGTTAACATTTTTAAACTGCTCTCAAGAAGCCAAGAAACAGTCTTTTTCCTATCCTATCAAACATAATGTAATCAAATCCCACCCATTTCCTGATCCTGAAAGGTTTTTTAAGAGGGGGAGAAGTGGAGGTAACCAGCTGACTTTATTGGGTTTAACTACGGTCAACCAGGGGTTCTTAACCTGAGGTTTCATGCATGGCTTTCAAGGTGTCCTGGATTTTCTGTAATTGTGTACAAAATTGTGAGTTTTTAAAATTTGACGGGAGCTATCATGTTCTTCTGATTGTAAGGCATCTTGACCCAAAAAGGTTAAGAGTACTGACTTAGCCAGTCAGACTAGAGTGGCACTGGCTTTGAAGAAAAAGCAAAGATTTTTATAATGCTGGGCAACAAAAATGTGAATGTGTGCCAGCATCTTGGATTAGAATCCTCTTAAAAGGGTAACATTGCTTATAAACTGGTAGGTTTTAGCCAGTGCATTATGTGAGATGAAGAAGTTTGTTTTTCTGTTATTTCAGAATTTGTTTTTATTTGGAAAATATTTGGAAAGCTTTTACAGTTTTTTACCTTGCCAATGAATACCTGGAAATTGTAAAAAAAGTTTCACATGCTGCCGTAAAGTGTTTTTCTAGACATATGTTCAAGGAATTTTAATCTCCAAATTTATTGAGGGTTGAAAGAAATAGATGGTTTGAATATAAAAATTTTAAGTTCTGCTAGTCATTGATATATACAATAAGAAAACTTGGATACCACATTTAACTTTCAGCATCTTCCTGTTTTTTTCAGCGTATCTTAAAAATTAAGGTAACATACAGGGAAGGGAGCTTTTACTGAAACAGAAGGCCCTATTTAGGAAGGGGGGAAATCCACTTAAACTTTATCTGTACCTAAAAATTTGAGATTAAGACTGTCAACTGTATCAATTTTTAGAGCCATAAATTCCTAGTAATGGTTTCATTAAAAGAGGTTAGGAGTAATTTTATTTAAATATTAGTAGAACAGTAAGATTTTTCTGGGAATTTAAAATAGACATTAGAAAAGTTGAATGGACCTTAACTAAAGGAGTTACGGAGTAGCTAAGTATCTTCAGCATTTAGTTGCTTTTACTGTTATTTATTTAGGTAGTCTCTAAAATACTCATTATAATATTTGTAAGAACATGGTTGAAGTAAAATAACTTGAGTAGAAAGTTTCTGACTGGTAATACCAAAATTTCATAGGCACCTTAAATTTTTTTCTTTATTTACAGTAATCTATGCCAGCAATTATGACAATGTTAGCAGACCATGCAGCTCGTCAGCTGCTCGATTTCAGCCAAAAACTGGATATCAACCTTCTAGACAATGTGGTGAATTGCTTATACCATGGAGAAGGAGCCCAGGTAAAGAAGCTGAGCAAAACTTTATAACATTATTAGAGTGCAATGAAGTTACTCGGTTAGAACAAGATTTTAAATTACCGCCTTTTTAAAAAGTGTTCCATAGTTTGTATTAAATTGGAATTATATATTAACCAATGAGAAGCGGTCTGCAGAATTGCATTATGTGCATTATATTTTGACCTGGTTAGAATGAGATGTTTTGGAATATTCTTACTTGTTCTGTCTTTAAGAAACCTTTAGCCAATTTAATGAAAGATAGAGCCTAATGTATCGAGTGTTTTACAGATACTAAAGGTTGTATATCTTTTATGTATGTAATATATTTGGAGTTAAAAGATTCTTGTATTTTTGAAATATTGGAATTACAGAAGTACTTCACTGATAAAACTTGCTTTAAAAGTCCAGCAATACCAAGCATCTTAAATTATTTGAATTTAAGACTTGTAAAAGTGGTCTATTAATGTAGGCAGTTATCTTACACACATAATCCATGTTTTGATGAGTTTAAAGTTTTTGGGTTTTTATTTTTTTAAAACACCCAATTGAATGATAGACAAGACAGGAATGTTCATAATTTTTTTAGGTTTTTCTTATAAACTGGGTAATCTTGAATCTTCACTCTGTGGAGTTAATCACATGAGGAGTTTTAAATTGTAAAATTTTCTGTTGTTGGATTTAAAAGTCTTTTAAGATGATGTGACAAAAACCAGTAAAATTTTGTTGCCAAAATATTATATTCCTAGTAGATGATGTCTAGTTAGTACATGTCTTGAAGATACTAGTTTATATTTGCATAGTTTAACCCCGAGTGCTATCATACTTTTTAAAAACCTGAAAGGTAGAAATTGTATCTTTTATAGATGATCCAAAAAGCATGATGTATAAATACTAGCACGTGCATAAATATTCCATTCCCTCTGAAATACATTATTGGTTTTAGTATATATATAACAAAGAGAAAACTTGAAAGGGGGCCATGAAAGTTGTATGAGTGGTAAAAATTATTCTGCAGATTTTGTAAGGTTGGTCCAGTTTTATAACTCCTAGGGGGCTTTTGGTCCACGTTCTTGTCTCCAGAAGCCTTCCTGAAAAGTTATTCCATCCATATGTGTTACACATACCATGTAGTTGTTTCTTTGTGCTATACGGTCAACATGGAGTTTTAAGCTTCATTTCATTCTAACATGCATGTATGGAAAGCAGCTACTTTAGGAAGAAAGTAGAGAAGTAAGGTTGGGCTCAACTTTGAATATATTAGAAGCACAAGTCTTGTAAGCCATTAGGAAGATGGCAATTTAATTTTGTCACCTCACTTAGCTTCTACTGCTGTTTAAATCTTTGTTCCTTTTTAACATGGCTCACAACATCTAAAAGTATGATGGATAAACAAAGAGACCAATATTCTTCTAGGCTTATAACTAAGAAGTAATAGTAACTTTTATCATGAAGAATATATTGGTGGTGGGGTGCCTGGCTGGCTCAGTTGGAAGAGCATGTGACTCTTGATCTCACAGATGTGAGTTGAAGCCCCATGTTGGGTATAGAGATCACTAAAACAAAAAAAAAGACTTTAACTATATGTATGTTGGTGCTGCTGCTGCTGCTTTTAGTAATGTTTCACATTAAGATTTAATTATTTGTTTTAAATTTGATTTTTTAATAAAATGTAGACTTAGGAAAGTGTTTTCTATTTATCAAGGCAAAATAAACTTTCCCAAAAGTAAGAACTTTATGTCTAGTTATATCATAAGACAAATCTGTTACATATAGTTGCAAACTGCTATTTGTCATTGTTATAGATAAGGAAATGGAGGCTTAGAGCTCTTAAAATCAGCTAAAAACCTTTTATCTCAAAGTGTGTCTTTACACTTGTAGTTCAGTGGATTTTTCATATGCTGCCTCTTTGGGGGTCTTATTGTGAATAAAAAGAAGAAAGCTTTCTTGGAAAACATGTTTTTAGTGAGGGGTGTCTTGTTTTAGTCCAGTAAGTTTTCTAGTCATTGCTCTAGAGTTTCACCTACAAAGTTACCTACCTCACAGGAGACTGGAAGATAGTAGGGTTTGTAAAAGCACCTGTTATGGTGCCTCATACTTAGAAGGCATTCTGTTTAAAGGGTACTTTTGGAAGTATAAAGGTTTAGCATATTTACACAAACTCATTGTTTTAAAATATTGTATGGTTTCTTAATTTTTTTCCAGTCTCATATGTGCTAAAAATGGCAGCTATAAAAATTATGCTAATTAAACATTAAAACTCAGAGGAAGCTAATTTTTTTTTAAGGATTACATAATTTTGGAGGTGAAGAAATTGTTAGAATGGTGCCTTTTAATCTATACCCAGAGCTTATGTCCAAATGGGCAATACAGAAGGATGTTTAACACTAACATTAGGGCTATCTTCTAAGTATTTTTCTATTTTTAGCCAAGTTAGGCAGCCAGCGGGAAAAATATATGGAAGAGTTGGGTGTTTTCTCCAATACTGTGTTAAGTGACTTGAACTCTTAATCTATTGCTTAGCAACTAAAATACTTTCACCATTCAGTAAGTAACACAGGGAGATACCAAATTCTCTCCTTTAGTTTCCTTCCGTGTCTTTTTTAACCCCTTCTGGAGTTTTAGCTTATAAAAGAATATTATGTAAGGATAGTGGGGTTAGGACAAAGTAAAGACGCTAAGACACAAATACTAGAAGTGACTTTTATGGATGACTAAAAGGAAAGGACATGATTTATGCAGTGTTAATGATAATAGTGTGGTGAGTATTCACTTATGTGCACAGTGGTCATCATTTCAAAAGTTCTGATAGAGTATCTTGACCAAATAACTTTTACTAGGCATGGATCTTTGCTATACCTCATGCTCTTGTTATTTGTTACTATTTTATGTGCAAGAATATAACTAGTGAGAAATGAATAGATCTAGTTAGATACTCTCTGGGAGACAGTCAAAACATTGCTAAAGTGTGCTTTGGCCCTAGATAACTCAGATCACTATTCTTTCTGCTTTTTGTCATTATATAGCATAATTAGAACTCCTTAAAACTATTAGTCCCTTAATGAAATCTAATCAAAATATGTATATTTTAAGAGCTTATATTCTAGCTTGAACCCTGTACTTGTAGGTTGGAACCCAGGGAACTGGTTTTTCTCCCAAGTTCCATGGTGGTTCTGGTGGTGTTGTCAAGGTACAAAACCACTACTTATTGGGTGTATATTTTTAAAGTTTTCTTTTAAACAATAAGCAGTGTATATTGCTAGTTGGTTGATGGGGGAAACCACTATATCTGCTACCTAAGGAAAATAATTCTTAACATCAAAGCCAAAATAAGGAACATGATTTTTTTTTTTTGTAAGTTGGAATAAAACCTAAGTTGAAGATTTTGAGGTGTCTGTCAGAGATGGTTCAAATTGGAATGCTTCTTTCCCCCTCTTTGATGCTTGCTTTATAACCCATAAATTAAACCCTTGATCAAGTTGAATCAATCTAACAGAAAGATAATTGACAAACTTTAAAATTACCAAACTTCTTACGTACATGTGATAGAACTAAGTAAAAGGTAATTAGGGAGGATCCAGTTGAGCTACAAAACTGCCTTTAAAGGTGAAAAGATTAAGCTATTACTTCTTGAAAAAAATCAATAGAATTAATAGCCTTGGGTAAAATGTGTTCGTATCATTAAGAAACTATAATGGTTGAAATGAAGAGACTAGATACATAGTGTCAGTATGGCTAGGTCTCTAAAACTCCATTGTCTGTTATACCTTATAATAAAGCTGAGGGAAAGTGTCAAATGAAAAGAGCAGATTGTAGTGTTTTTTATAGTATACTATTTATATAAAATTTAGTGACCACACAACTATATCACTCATGAAATTTATGCACATGCTGAGAAAATATGGATAGGAAAAGACACCAAATTCATGAAACTCATTATCTCTAAAGAAGGAACAAAAGGAAGGAAATGGCACTGGAGAAAAGGTATAAAGGTGGTTTCCATAAGTTTTAGAACTTTTACGTTTATTTTTTTATTTTAAATTTTTAAAAAATTTTTTTTAAGATTTTATTTATTTATTTGACAGAGACACAGTGAGAGAGGGAACACAAGCAGGGGGGGTTGGGAGAGGGAGAAGCAGACTCCCTGCTGAGCAGGGAGCCCGATGCGATGCGGGGCTTGATCCCAGGACCCCGGGATCACGACCCGAGCTGAAGGCAGATGCTTAACGACTGAGCCACCCAGCCGCCCCAGAACTTTTATGTTTAAAAGAAAAACAAATACAAGTAAAACAGTGTTAACATTTGTTAATTGTAGATGATGGATATATAGGTTTTTCTTATTTCTGGGTTTGCATTTTAAAGATGAAAACGGGTGCCTGGGTGGCTCAGTAGGTTAAATGTCTGACTCCTGGTTTCAGCTCAGGTCATGATCTCAGGGTCCTGGGATTGAACTCACTCCCGTGCTCAGTGCAGAGTCTGCTTGAGATTCTCTCCCTCTGCTCATCTCTCCCCCTCTCTCTCACTCGGTGCCCTCTATCAAATAAGATCTTAAAGATATGAAAACAGAGTTTTCAAAATAAGCTAGGATTTGATACGAAATTTAGAAGATTTTCAGAGAACAGAAAAAATGTGTATTTACAATAAATTTAAGAGATTTTTTTAAAAAGGGATTCAGGGTCTTTGTGTTTTTTATGTATCTACAGGTATTTGAGGTTTGTAGCCTTACTTAGACCTAGTTTTTATCAGTTTTCCCAAGGAAAAAAACATGTAATTTTTTTCCCCATGAAATACATTTTTATAGGTAAACTTTGTTGGAGATATCTTGGTAACTTGTAAGACAGGGAGTACCATTACGTAATTTAAGTATATGTGAATTTTTATATGTTGCTTTCAGTTAAGTGCTGAGAACTCCCTTTACGCTAGAGAAATCTTTGTTAGCATTGGTTGAATTTAAGTTCCATTTTGAGAATACCAAATAAAGTAGTAGATTGCCAAAAAAAACTACTGTTTCAAAGGGATGTATATTCCCATTTTAAATTGAAGTTTAAGGGGCACCTGGGTGGCTCAGTCGTTGGGCGTCTGCCTTCAGCTCAGGTCATGGTCCCAGGGTCCTGGGATCGAGCCCTGCATCGGGTGCCCTGCCTCTCCCACTCCCCCTGTTTGTGTTCCCTCTCTCGCTGTCTCTCTCTGTCACGTAAATAAATACAATCTTATAATTAAATAAATAAATAAATAAATTGAAGTTTAAGAGTGATCGAGGATACATTTTTATTTCTGTATGGACTAATTATTTCTTGAGTGTTTCAGGAAGTTAATAGAATAGAATCACTGTCCTATTAGGATTTGTGCCTTGCTCAATACCATTTTAATGAATGATTAAAAAGAACAAGTGAGCTTAAAATTATTTTCATGTAATATTTTAGCAAAGAATGGCTCAAGAAGTACTGACACATTTAAAGGAGCATCCTGATGCATGGACAAGAGTCGACACAATTTTGGAATTTTCACAGAATATGAACACGAAAGTAAGCAAGTGGTGGTTTTAAAATCCATTATTTCTTCTTTTCTTCCAGTCATAAACTTTGAGGAAGGTATCTCATTTTTAGTATTAGCATTTGTTATCTCAAATTATTTAATATTGTTAACTTCAAAATTGAGTCTTAAACATAGAATGAATTCTTGCAAATAGTCCTAAGAATTATGAATGAAGTTTTGTAATTAGGACTAGTATGCAAGGTGGCTTTTTTGGTTGCTTTTTTGTTTTTGTTTTTGTTTTTGTTTTTAGAATATGTATACAGATCTAAGTAGCATAAATTCTGAATGTTATTCAGAGATGAAACATCAGAGGAATTATTTTGGGCAAGTAATCAATATAATAATACAGGCTAGGCACCTCCAACACCAAGTTGTGTGGGCAGCATAAAACCCTGCTCCATGGTACCAATGCTTTAAATGGGACAGCACTCAGTTTTTATTTGCAATTGAAAAATGTTATAATTTGGGTCATTTTTTCCTAGTTTGAACAGAAGGGTTGATCAAAATGTGTTTTGACTGTTTTAGGCTTGATGATTCACACTTCTCTTTAAACTGCCTTAAAGTAATAAAATACCATGCATGGCATTCTGTTTAATACACACAAGATTTCCACTTGGTATACATTGTGTTAAAACAGAAAATAGCCATTTTCACATCTGTTTCTGAAATCAGACTGTATTAATTAACAGTTTTAAAATATTAATTAGTTTTGACATCTTGTAAATTTTAGGGCAAAAATACAGTCCAGAACTTCCTCAAAGTGCTAACCTTAAGTAACATAATAGTGTTTGCCTGTTTGCTTGCCTGGTAAATTTTGCTTTTTATACTGACAGACATTACTAATGTTTAAGTTGATTTATCAACAGTATTTTTAAAAACTCAAATTTGTCTTGTGAAAAATGAGATGATTAGAGGAACAGAAAGAAAGCAACAGGTAAAGAATTCTTCAATTTACATAAATTACAAATGATTTGGTGCTAAATTTATGCACTATGACATTTGGCTTTTATGCAATCATTTTTTTTTTCTTTAAAGATGTTAACACTACCTGATATTAATCATAATGTTCCATTATGTTGATTGCTTGTAATAGGAAGAAAAGGGGTGTCTTCCTGTGCAACTGACACAGCTAGGCTTTGACGGCAGGCCTCCACAAGGTCTACCCTTTTGATTCCCTTTAACTGAATTCTGTTCATCAATTGTTTTTGTTTCATGGGCGGTGGGAGGGGAAAGGGGAAGTCAATGCATAAAATAAGTATTTCTAAGGGCTCAGTAGAAATTTCTACCATAGGGATCATTTCATGCATTTATTTTTTCATTTAGTCTTTGCTGTTATCTGTCCCTCATCTTCATAACTCAGCAGTGGATTTCTCAAGTCCTGAGATGTAAAGCAGAAATGTAATTAATTCTTTAGAGTGATATTTGGATTATTTATGGATATTTCCAAAGTAGTCATTTATGATTGGCCCTTAGATTTGGCTAGCAGTTAAGATTTTTTTAATCAAAATACTCTAATTCAAAAAATGTAAATTCTCTTCATATGTGGAGTCTTAATGTTTAGGTGAGATTGGGTTTTAGGATATTATGACGGTGATCTCTGTATTCCTTTGACTTAACTTTTGAAAAGCTTTTATTGGGCTTACTGCCTCAGCAGGGTTGGCAGAAAGAAAAATATGAATTGTATCTTCAGCAAGCTAAGGCTATCATTTTACAGGTGGGGAAAGGAGTAGAGGTTAGTAAATAGGTAATTTAAGTAACAAAGTATCAAAGAAAAAGGAAGCAGGGTAATAGCCTAAGCTGAAAAACTGCTGGCTAAATAGGGTGAAGTTATCATTGAGATTGTTGCTTCTTACTGGTATATGTATGGTGGATTTTTAGTTTTTTAAAGATCGTTTTAATTGGTTGAGAATTAGCAAGAGGATATATTCCAAGTAGTAAGAAGTGCATTGTTTTGACTTAGTAAAACTTTGATAGTGTCATGTCTATAAAATTCAAAGTTTTTAGGGTAGTATGTTCTCAAAAGTTAATTGAAAATTTCAGTCAATCAGAAACTTTTTTTGCCTATTTATATTTTTCTGAGACGTAGACCTATAAAGGGATTGTAAATGACCAGGTTAGAAAGTTTCAGTATTTACTGCTGGTTATGAAACCCTTTAATGGTGTCAAATTTGTAATTTCAGAATTTTGCTTTGGCCTTTTTTTTATTTTGGAAGTCTTTTTAAGGAATGTTCTGCAAATGTAGGATTTTAGTTGAAATGACAAAATTTTCTTAAAGTATGAAATGTTAAAATGGAAGAGAACAGCAAAAACATTTACTATTTGAGCACAATGTAGTTTGGGACAGTCTATATTGTGCTTTGGATAAAATGAGCATTCACATGATCCCTTTGGTTGAAATACTAATGCTCCTATTTTATTGTGTGATGACTAACCATTTTAAAGATGAACTCTTATTCTCAGCCAAAACTTGCAATCTGAAGTTCTATGTCTATATATGAATGTGTTTACCTTTCAGGTATTATAGCTCATTCTTCCCTACTTAAGACAATTGAAACATACCACAACAATTTTGTCCCTTTTCTTCCTCCTGTCTATCCACACTAATTGGTCATGGTAATAATTTTGGGTAGTAACTCCTATAGCATTATAAATTGTTGTGAATGTTGTTGACTATTTAGAGTGAGAAATCAGCAGGAGGGACAAAATGGCTTGAAAGTGGTATCTGTATTAACTTTCTTACATTTTTAGTTAAGACTTTTATATTTAGGAAGGAATACCTGAAAGGTAAAAACAGATTGCAACATGCGTTTGTGTATTATTTTTGACTGTGCACAAAAGTTTATCTTTAAATTAGTAGAAATAGCAAATGTAAGGGTGGGATTAAAATTTAAAATTAAACCCGTGGGCTGTCTTGCTGCTCCTTAAGTAACACACCAGAGATGTTTATAAACACTTTCTATGGAAAGTATCTGTGACAATACTTTAATACTTGGCCAAGAGTTTACAACTCCTAGAGGATGGTAGGAAGCTTGAGAGCATCCAAGCTGCTAAATTCTTAGGAGCCTGGTCGTGTTAAAGTACGTGAGCCGATGAGCAGTCATTTATGCTGTGAATTCATATCTGGCTGCTACTTTTCCTTCTACAGATAAGCCCATTTGGCTGCTAAAGGGCTTTTTATTTGGTTCTTCCTCCTGGTGTGAGCATGTATAAACAGCAGGACGTTAAATAGAGTAGTAAACAATAAAATGAGGAAAATGCATGAAAACTCAGTATATGGGTGAATAGATCCTTGTTTAATCTATGTAATTAAACTTGGTAGCATAATGTTTTTGAAACTTTAGATGTAAATGTGTGAATGTCTGTCCATTTGTGAATCCTGAAAGTTGCCAGTATTATAGCAATATATTCACATGTTTCTATTCTCCAATTTTCAGTATTATGGACTACAAATTTTGGAAAATGTGATAAAAACAAGGTGGAAGATTCTTCCAAGGAACCAGTGTGAAGGTAGGAAAATGTTTTAAAGAATTGTAAATTCAGAATTGTATTAGTTTTGGCATTTTTATTATAGTTGAATATTGGGCAGGGGGGCGGTGGTGTTAATCTTCAATAGTTTAATAGCTCTGATGGAGATTACTGCTTTCATCAAGTGGGAAGGCACGTTCTATTTATATTTGGGGGCAGGGGAGGGAAAAGGTTACTTTTTGGGGGAAAGGAGACCAAAGTGGTCAAACTGTTCACAGTAAATGCTGTGGTATAAAAATATGTATCAGCTTGTAGTTAATCAGGACCATGACTGAAGTGAATGAAATTTGAATATGTGTTCTTATACATGGTTATAAAAAGTTTGCCTAACGGTAACTCATGAGTAATAAGTATTGTAGCACATTAAATAGTACGTAAACTTAACAGAGCAAGGGAAAAAATGAAGTTTTAAAAATCAAAGATTGGGGTGCCTGGATGGCTCAGTCAGTTAGGTGTCCAACTCTTAATCTCCGCTCAGGTCTTGATCTTAGGGTTGTGAGTTTGAGCTTCATGTTGGCGCAGGGCATGGAGCCTACTTAAAATTTAAAAAAAATCACAAAGCTTTACCTTTGGAAATTCTGTGCCTGCTTTAGAAGAGATCAGCTTCTACAGTAGGGAAAGAAAAGAATGAAGATGTGATGATGCCTGCTATTGATACTTAGCTTTTGCTCTTCTACAATCTCAGTAAAGGTAGTCCTGCTTTAAGACACTTGGAGCAAGCTTAGTCTCTTGGAGTATATTGATCAAGTTACTTCCAGTTTTCACATACTGCCTCTATCACCTACTCTGTATCACTTGTTTGTTTAATCTCTGAAAAATACATAAATATAAGCCTGGACTTTACAATAGGGAGTATGTTACTACTGGTGGCATTTTTTTTTTTCCTATTAAAATCTATCTTCTTTCTTTGTTGATCTTTTTTTTTTTAATGTAGTGTTCCATGATTCATTGTGACTGTTGATCTTTAATATGTCTTATCACTTGCTTTCTCATGTCATCTTTGTGGTGGGAGAGTGACCTGGATTTACAGAGCTAGTCTTTCTCTAGAAAGCTGGTATCTTTTTAGCATGTTCAGAGGTGACTAAGCCAGTTTTTAATGGCAGTATCCTTACTGTACCATAAACCATAGGGTAAGAATGACCGTATAGGGGGGAAATGGTGCCTCCAAAAAAGGTTCCTATTTAAATGTTTTATTTGGGGTTGAAACCATTTTAGATGATGTGTGACCTCGGAAGTTAATCAGTACAGTTTGGCTGTGTGGCCCAAATAGATCTCCATACTTGGTCACTGCTCTTTAGGGATCTCAGATGCGCTTCTTGTTGCTCGGCTGCTATTGATTGGTTAAGCCCCTCTTCTGTTTCTAAATACCTAGACCTCTGCCTCTTACCACATAAGAATTGTACTAGATGATCCTTCAACATTTTTTCCAGCTTTAAAATTAAACGATTTAAATGATCCTGGTTTATCAAAGTCATGGTTCTATTTGTTACTGAAAAAATTAGAATTAATTGTCTCCCTGAGGATTTGGCATTTTTAGCTTTCTACATGAATGGAAGTAGTATGTTTTGGTTTTTATCCTAAAGTCACAGTAGCCCTCATATTTACGTATAAATATCAAATGTACACATACTCCAGGGTGCATAAGACTGTTCACTTCTAAAAATCTATTATGTTTGAAAAAACTGGAGAGGTGACCGTTCCGCCTGACTTAAAAGAGAGTTCTGTTTTATGTATTCTATTCTGTGTTGGTGAGATACTTCGTTTCTCTGCAAACAGTGCAGTTGGCCCCTGAACAGCATAGGGGTTAGGGGTAACACCACCACCACCACCCCCATGCAGTTGAAAATCCATATATAAGTTTTGACTCCAAAACACAGCTAATAGCCTACTGTTGACTGGAAGCCTCGCCAGTAACAAAGTTGATGAACACCTATTTTGTATACAATATTTATTACATGCTGTATTCTTATGTACTGTAACATTTCTAGGGAAAAGAATATTATTAAGAAAATCTAAGAGAATATACATTTACAGTACTGTACTGTATATATATTTTTAATGCACATATGAGTGGACCCGTCCAGTTCAAGCCCATGTTGTCAAGGATCAGCTGTTAAAAAAGATGTATCAGAATCACCTTTCTCTGGGTTTTTCTCAAGGCTAGTAATAAGATTAAGTACCTGAAGTTACTCTACTGCTCACATAATAGTTGCCATTTTTAGTGAGGTCATTATTTGTAGGAAAAAGTGTGATACAACTTCTAGAATCTTTCACACGCTTGATAGAAGAGCATGTAAGGGGCTCCTGGGTGGCTCAGTCGGTTAAGTGTCTGACTTGATTTTAGCTCAGGTCGTGATCTTGGGGTCATGGGATAGAGCAGCATTGGGCTCCACACTCAGTGTGGAGTCTGCTTGTCCCTCTCCCTCTTCTCCCCACCGACTGCATGAATGCCTTGCTTTCCCCCTCTCTCTCAAATAAAATCTTTTTTAAAAAGAACATATAAAATATATCCCAGAGAATGTTTGTGAACTCTAGATTTAGATGGACAAGCTGCATTTAGTGATTTGTTTTTAAGGTAAAACATTAGAAAATAAATTCAGTACTATATTAATTTATAATTATTTTAAATGTTATCAGTCCTGAGAGGCTTCTCCAATCTTAAGATTTTTGTATCTCACAAAAAACGCTAACATTTCTGAATGTTACTTTTCCTTCATCTTTAAGTAACTTTTTAAGTTTTTTTTTTTTTTTAAGATTTTATTTATTTATTTGAGAGAGAGAGAGAGAGAGAGAGCACATGAGAGGGGTTAGGGTCAGAGGGAGAAGCAGACTCCCTGCCGAGCAGGGAGCCCGATGCGGAAGTCGATCCAGGGACTCCAGGACCATGACCTGAGCCAAAGGCAGTCGCTTAACCAACTGAGCCACCCAGGCTCCTCATCTTTAAGTAACTTAAGTATTGGGAATAAAGTTGTATAACCCACATAATAGTATATATTTTTGTCTATAACTCTTTTTCTTTTAAAACTGTCTCCACTTGTTGGGTATTTCTTGTCCAACTTAACATATATATTTATCTGGTACATATAATGTGTATCTACTTTGTACAAAGCAGTAATAGGTATTAAGGCTATGCAAATATATTCCTATATCACAGTGTTACAGGTGGGAAGATACACATGGATGTAGAGAAAAAAATTAGGAAAATATAATGAGTGCTTCTCTTGCTAAAAGAGGGGAATGATGGTCAGGTTGGGCCCTTTAATTAAACAAGCTCCTTCACACAAATGGCAGTGCTGGGTGTATTTTAAATGAAGAATAGGTTTGACCACACAGACAGCAAGCCAAAATAAATTTTTTAATCTGCTTTCAGGTTTTTCTCCCTAAGTATATGTTAATTTTCTTCCCTTTTTTAAGGGTAATAGGCATTTTCAGTTTAGCCCTTTTGTCTAAAGCACTTTGCCAGGAAAATTCCTGACAATACTAGACTTATGTTAGATGTCCCTTAGTGTATCCTGTTCCAGTGGCTCACAAATGAATAAAATTTCAAAAAGAAAATACACAACAGATAATAATTAGCCAAGTAAAAGTGTTTCAAAAACATTAAATTAGAAGATTTTAATTTTTAAAAAGGGAGGTATGGTTTCATAATAGAACATTTTAACAGATTTAGACAAGTAATACAAAATTTACTAAATTCCTCTGGTTTTTATCATTTTGCTTTAGTCCAGAAAAATATTTTCATTTGGTGTCTTCCCCCCCCCAATCCCCCAAATATAAGCTTAATGATGTTAGGATCCAAGAATGTTAATTGCATTCTTTTTTTTTTTTTTTAAAGATTTTATTCATTTCTTTATTTATTTGAGAAAGAGACCAAACATAAGTATGATGGGGGAAGGTGGGAAGGGCAGAGGGAAAGGGAGAAACAGGCTCCCGGTGAGCAGGGAGCCCAGTGCTGTGCTCAGTCCCAGGACCTGGGATCATGACCTGAACCAAAGGCAGACACACCCCTGTTGATTGCATTCTTTTTTATTATGATGATGATGTTACGTTAGCCACCATACAATACATCATTAGTTTTTGATGCAGTGATCCACAATTCATTGTTTTGTTGATTGCTGCATTCTTATTCTTGGTATATAATTACTCAATTAGGGAATTACTGTTGTTAGTGTTTCCCAAGTTTACTTCATTCCTCTACTTTAAGGGCCTAATGAGTTCCCCAATATTTTTGCTTATACATATATGTAAATTATTTACATATAATCTTTGAAGTTTGAAGTGAATATTTGCATGGTGAATTATTATAGGTCAGAGACTTAATTTTTCACTGAGGAAAAAATTTTTATTTTAACTAAAAAAATTTGTTTTTTTTTTTTTTTTTTGAAGTATAGTTGACACACTGTTTTATTAGTTTCAGGTGTACAACATAATGCTTGGTCACCACAAGTGTAGCTACCATTTGTCACCATACAATACTATTATAATATCATTAGCTGTACTTTCTGGGCTGTACCTTTTATCCCTGTGATTTATTCATTCTGTACTAGAAGCCTGTACATTCCAGTCCCCTTCACCCCTTTTGCCCATCCCCCTAAACATCTCCCCTCTAGTAACCACTAGTTTTCTCTGTATTTATGGGTCTGTTTCTGCTTTGTTTTGTTTTTGTTTCTTAGATTCCACATACAAGTAAAATGATATGGTAGTCTTTTTCTGTCTGACTTTATTCACTTAGCATTATACCTTCAAGACCACTTTTCTTTTTTGTGGTTGGGTACTATTCAGTGTGTGTGTGTCCCACATCTTCTTTATCCATTCATCCATCGATGGACACTTAGGTTGCTTCCATATCTTGGCTATTTTAAGTAATGCTGCAGTAAATGTATAGGGGTGCATATACCTTTGTGAATTCATGTTTTCATTTTATTTGGGTAAATACCCAGTGGTGAAATAACTGGATCATATCGTAGTTGTATTTGTAATTT